AGGAATTTATCAATTTCTAATAGGTTGTCCAATGTGTTGGCCTATAATTTTTTATAGTAGTCTTTTTTGATTCTTTTGCATTTCTCTGGTATAAGTTATAACATCTCTTCTTTCATTTCTGATTTTATTTATTTGAGTTCTCTTGCTTTCTTGATAAGTTTCACTAAAGGTTTATCTATTTTGCTTGCCTTTTCGGAAGACCAGCTATTGGTTTCATTGATCTTTTCTGTTGTCTTTTAGTTTCTATTTCATTTATTTTCACCTTCATCTTTGTTATTTTGTTCCTTCTACTAACTGGGTTTTTTCACGTTCCTTGAGATACAAAGTTATTTTTTTAAAGATTTATTTATTTATGATAGACAGAGAGAGAGAGAGGCAGAGACACAGGAGGAGGGAGAAGCAGGCTCCATGCCGGGAGCCCGACGTGGGACTTGATCCCGGGACTCCAGGATCATGCCCTGGGCCAAAGGCAGGCGCCAAACCACTGAGCCACCCAGGGATCCTCGAGATACAAAGTTAGATGGAACTCTGTCTTGCTTCTTACTGTAGGCATTTATTACTAAGAGCTTCCCTCTTCTGCTTTTTTTTTTTTTTTTAAGATTCCATTTATTTATTCCTGAGAGACAGAGAGAGACAGAGACAGAGACACAAGCAGAGAGCAAAGCAAGCTCCAGGCAGGGAGCACGATGCAGGACTCAATCCTGGGTCTCCATGATGACGCCCTGGGCCGAAGCATCACTAAACCGCTAAGCCATCCAGGCTATCCGCTCCCCCTTCTGCTTCTCCCTCTGCCTGTGTCTCATAAATAAATAAAACCTTTAAAAATAATAATAATAAGAGCTTCCCTCTTAAGAACAGCTTTTAGGGGCACCTGGGTGGCTCAGTCCAGCAAGCCTCCAACTCTCAGTTTTAGCTCAGGTCATGATCTCAGGTTTGTGGGATCAAGCCCTGCCCTGTGTTGGGCTCCACACTCAGTGGGGAGTCTGCTTGAGATTCCCTCTCTCCCTCTCCCTCCACCCCTCTACTCCCCTCTCTCAAATAAATAAATAAATATTTTTAAAAAAACTGCTTTTCCTGTATCCCATAGATTTGGTATATTGTATTTCCATTTTCATTTATTCATGAGAGACAGAGAGAGAGGCAGAGACATAAGGCAGAGGGAGAAACAGGCTCCTTGCAGGGATCCCAGTGCGAGACTCCATCCCAGGACCCCGGGGTCACACTCTAAGCCGAAGCCAGATGCTCAACCAGTGAACCACCCAGGTGTCCCTCTTGATGTGATTTCAATCTTAAATTTATTAAGATTTGTTTTATGGCTTTACATATGATATCTAGAGAATGCTTTGTGTGGGCATGAGAAGAATATATACTCGTGGCATAATTTTTAAATTTAGATCTTTAGATAATTTTAAATTTATGCTTACATATGGTATGAGCAGGAATCCAACCATGAGGCCTACTTGACCTAATATAATTCATCGATTTCAAATGCCTCCTGATCATATTCTAAATCCCTGTGATCTAATTTTATCAGTATTATACTCTGCTAATTAGTGTCTTTTTGGAGTATGTTTTATAATCTGGTAACCCTCCTCCATTACTTTGCATGGTTGACTTCAGTTCCGTTCGAGACATTTGAGACTAGTAGCCTCTTCACCTGGCAGTCTTTCTGGGTTATAGTCTGTGCAGCTGTATTTAAAAAGACACCTGGCTTCTTTGGCTTCTTTCATATGACAGCCAGACCTTGAGATGCGTTAAGACTTAGTGTAGTCTAGGAGTGCCTGGGTGGCTCAGTTGTTTAAGTGTCTGCCTTCAGTTCAGGTAATGATCCCGTGTTGGGATTGAGCCCTGAGTCAGGCTTCCTACTTAGCGGGGAGTCTACTTCTCCCTCTCTGCCTTTCCCCTGCTCGTGCCTTTCTCCCTGCATTCTCTCTCTCTCTCTCTCTCTCGCTCTCACTCTTGCTGTCTCTCAAATAAGTAAAATCTTAAAAAGAGAGAGAGAGAGAGGGAGACTTAGTGTAGTCTAAATCTGGTCCTTGCATGTCCTCATTTAACAGAAAGAAGATTGCAAAATCTATTCCCAACTCTTTGATATATTTGAAGATATATTAGCAGCATGCTAATTCTTGGCTCATAGCATGTAGCTTCTGTCAGCAGTGTAATTAAAATTGGGTTCTGTTTGCTCTTTAATCTACATGCTCTGTCAAGGTAATCTTACCAATTTAACAATAATTATAACAACATCTAACATTCTATGTCGGGCATTGTACTACACTTTATATGAATATCTCATTAAATCCTTAAAGCAACCCTATAAATGTATTTGCCCCATTTTATAAATGAGAAGACTGAGGCTCAGAAAGGTCCAGGTCCTACAAACTAGTAAGTGCCAGCTGACATTGAGATCGAGGTAGCCTAACTCCAAAGCCCACATCCTTAATACACTTGAAATTCAGCATTTATCTCTCTCCTTTCCTAAAACTTGCTCTGCCTTCTGTATTTTCAGTCTTATTTGCCTCATGTCCCCAGCCAGAACTGTCAAAATGATCCTCCATACCCTCTCACTGAACTTCAACTCCTATCACCCTACCTCTGGGAAGCCCACCTATCTGTTGCCCTCCATGTCCCCTGGCCCTGCTCCATATTCCCTGCCACAGGAACCTCCCTCAGCTTATTCTTCCTTCCACTCTGTCTAATGTGCATGTATCTTCACAGTTCCCTTCTCAGAACATGAAGCTGATCACGTCCCCGCACTATTTAAAAACTCTTAGTAGACTTCCTTGTTTGTTTGTTTGTTCGTTTGTTTGTTTGTTTGTTAGCCAGATTAACTCTGAACTGCTTAGCTATAAAGCTGCAGTCTGGCCCCACTCTGCCTCTTCGGCTTCATTTCCTGCCATCCCCTCCCCAGTCCCCTTACCTTCACTCCAGCCACATGGAAGGGTTCCATCTTCCCTAGCTCTATGCCAAGTCCTTCCATAGCTCTGCACATCTGCATTTCTTTCATCTACCTGAGAGCCTCTTCTTTGATCTCCCCTACAGACTCCTACCCCACTCTTGAGAGCTACATCAGATATTGCCCGCCGTAACATCTTCCCAGACCCCTCCAGGATGCACAGTGATTCCTGTTCTTCCCCTGGAGCACATGTGTAGGCCTTGGTTGTGGCACTCACCAAACTGTGTGCCAATTAATTATCCATTTCTGTATTTGTCTCTTCCATTAACCTTTCAGCACCTAGCACACAGTAGGCCCTTACTAAATGCTGGTTTAATGCTTGAAGGAATGTCCAAGACGGTGTTTGAAACAATAAGAAGTTAGAATTATACTTACTCCTAAACAGAGGACTGTCTTCTGTGTTTCTCAGCATAATCTTTAGCTAAATTAGCAGATAGTCCAACATACTGAATACAAGTGGTACATAGCAAACAGGATAGGTCTTTTAAATATAAGTTTGCCTAGGACAAGGACCATTATGCAAGACTAAGATCCTGAGATCATGCCTGTACCCCTCTCCTCATGCTGGGCATGGTTGTGATACTGTGACACAGTGGGGAGAATATTCCATCTGGCGTGAGAGCTCTGGGGCTGCATTACCATCTTTGGGACTCAGACTAGTCACACCTTCATGAACAAATATTTGATGTTAACATGTACACTTCCTGGTTGTTGTTGTTGTTGTTGTTGTTGTTGTTTTAATGAATGAGGCAATTTATTAACCCAGCATTTGTTCTAATGCTTCTTGTTGGCAGCTGCCACCTGTCCGGCGATTCTGTCCAGATTCCGCTGTCCCTGAGGTGTCAGTTTGTGGCCCCCATCTTGGTCCTTTTCCATCATTTTCAGCCCCTCTAGGGCTTGGAGGACCCTGCAGGCCACGCTTTTGGAGCCTGAAGTGCTGAAGTGGCTGGGCATGACCCCGTTTCTCTGACGTCCCCCGTAGATCTTAGTCATGGAGCCAACCCCAGCGCCTGCCCGGAGGTACAGGTGCCGTGCTGTGGAAGCAGCTTGTGTGTAGAACCAGTTCTCATCGTAGGGAGCAAGCTCTTTATGCTTGGCCAGCTTGACAGTGTCCACTCATTAGGGACTTTCAGCTTCCCAGACTTTTTGAGGAAGGCTGCCAGAGCTCTGATGAACTCCTGCTGGTTCACGTCTTTTACAGTAACTCCAGGCATCGTGCGGCCTCCACGCTGCCAGCCAGGGGAAAAGGCCACTTCCTGGTTGTTAACTTTGTTGCAGGAAGACTTCCCATAGAAGCCTCTACTTTTTTGGTCATTTCTTTTTTCATTTTCAGCTTATTAAGGTTTAATTGACAAAACTGTGATATAAGTGTACAACATGATGATTTGATTCACATTATGAAGATTCCCACAGTCGAGATAACACATATATCATCTCAAATATTTCCTTCTTTTTTTCCTTATGAGAACACTTTTTTACTCTCTTAGGATTTTTTTTTTTTTTTTTTTAGCGTGGAGGAAGAAGGAAAGGGAGAGAGAGAATACCAAGCGGGGTCTATGCTTGGTGCAGAGCCCGACATGGGGCTCATTCCCACAATCCTGAGATCATGACCTGAGCTGAAACCAAGAGTCTGGACACTTGAGCAACTGAGCCACCCAGGCACCCCTCTTTTAGCATATGTAATAATGCAGTACAATGTTATCAACTGTAGTCATATTATACAATAGATCCTCAGACCTTGTTCATGTTATAACTGAAAGTTTGTACCCTTTTACCAACCTGTCTCCATTTCCCCCAACTCCCCAGCCCTTGGTAGCTACTGTTCTACTTTGTGTTTCTGTGAATGTGACTCCTTTCCCCCCGGATTCCACTTACAAGCAATACCATGCAGTATTTGTCTTTCTGGTTTGTTTCACTTAGCATAATGCCCTCCATTCCCTCTTGTTGTTAGAAATGCCATATCTTTGTTTATGAACAATAATTCTTAACCCAGTGCAAACAGGATCATTTAATTTTATCTGAAGCCCATCTTTCCTTTCCCTTTCAGCTTCAGAATGAGTTAGAAAAAGGTGAACGGGACAATGCAGAACTACAGGAGTTTGCCAATGCCATTCTCCAGCAGATAGCAGATCATTGCCCCGATATCCTGGAGCAAGTGGTCAACGCATTAGAAGAGTCTTCCTGACCCTGCTTCATGGGGAGTGGCCAGCCCAGCAGCCTGCTATAGTAAATCCGGGAGCCAAGAAAGAAGAGCTGTAAGGAACGGGCACCCAGAAACTTCTTGGCACCCAAAGAACACTACAAACTGTATCCTATCTTGGTTGGTCCTTCAAGTGTGATTCCAGCACCCTTTCTACAGTTGACCGCTTAACTCTGCCTTTCTACTTTGGATATTGTCTCTACACTAATTTTCTTGATGTCCAGGTTGGTAAGTGGCCAGATTTCCATGAAGAACTGCCATCCAGTCATCACCAGTGGACAATTGTGGAAGCTGGTGGTTCTGCCCTTAACAGAGGGACATGGAGTAGAGAGCCCTTTTTCCTTCTGTCCTTGACACGAGAAGTAAATCTGGAATCTCCTTGGAGATCAGCATATTGAAAGAAACTTCCCAATGGACTAAGAGAGCTGAGTGTTCTAATATTACAATAGGTGCTTTCTCCTAAAAGGGTTAAAAAAAAATCTTTAAAAAAGAGAGGGGAAAAGAGAACAGAGACAAAGAGAAACTGACTCTTCTTTTTACTGTCTCTTTTGCTTGCTTTCACATGTAATGTTTCATGCAGGGGAGCTGCAAGGCCTCATGATGGCTTAGTGAACACTAATACCCCAAGTTTGGAGTCTTTATCCAGCCCTGTTTATCTCATTCATCCTTGCCCTCCTCAGCCAGTTAACAAGAGGATGGTGTGGACAGTTCTCCCCCTGGTCCCTCTTGCTTAAGACCTTTGACCCTATTCTGTTTAGTCTGTCAGATCATATATCTCGATCTGAAAGAGAAGAAGGGTTTGACCTGAGGCCCTGCCGTCACCACCCGCAGCTCTGCTTCTTTAGAAGATGACCGTTCTGTGGGGCCAGGCTGGTTTCTTCTAAAGCTCCCCTTCATTGGCATGCTAGATAGACCCTTGATGCTACCCACCACCCACGTTCCCTATTTTTGCAGCCCAGTGTTTGCTGATGTTCATGACTGGCCTTCCTCCCTTCCCGCAGAACCATGGCTTGTGCATTGTCTAGAACCTCCTCTGGCACAAGTGAATATTTCTCATCCCACACACATTCCTTTCTCCATTCTTTCATACAAAGAATATTTATGAAATGCCTACTGTGTGTAAGTCACTGTTAGGTACCCATCCTTGAAAAAAGTCTCTCTCCAGGGATGGAGAAGTATAAAGGATTCCATGAGACATACCTGATTGAATCAAAGCAGCAGAAGGCCTGCCCTTCCCCTCCCCACTCCTTTTATCTTAGTAGAAGTCCTCTTTTCCAGAAGAATCTTCCAAAAATGAGCCTTTCTCATTGCTCACTGTAATGGAATTGATGAGTTTGGGGAGCACGAAGCTGAGTTGCTTACTTGCCTGCAGGATCTTAGTTGATGGTTCAGGATTTTTGTTGTTGTTTCTGTTACTCTACAAGAGTGTAGCGTTTGCGGGGGTGGCTACAGCAGTGGATAATGTTTTCTTAACACGTCTACGCACACTGCGTGGAAACATGGCCAGCTCTGTGTCACAGATCAGAAAATTGACCATAACATTGCAAATCCCGTTGAAGGTATTGACATCTTGAAGGGCATTCTTCCCAAGCTTAGACAGTGGCAGTCATAAATAATCAGGCACCAAGAAAGAGACTACTTAACCCAAATCTAGCCCTTGGACCACCTCTCTGGCCAGACGCCCACCAGACACTCACATCTTCTGATAAGAGTTGCTGGGCTAGATGTGCTTCCCTTGCATTCTCCCCCTTCCCCCTCCCCATTATTCCTCCAGAGAATCTGGTGCTGCCTGTAAAGTGACCACAGCCATCAGCCCAGTATCTTCCCACCAGCAGCCCTCAACTGTCCCATTAACTTATATGGTCATATCTCCAGCTGCCCTAATTCCCTGGTGTAAAACAGTCTGTCCTGTGAGAAGCTGTAGACTGTTTCTTATCGAAGGTTAAGTGGGCTCTGCTCATAAACTTCTTACTGAGATGCTTCCTGATAGCCAGGCTGGCCAGAAGTGGGGGAGGTGGGAGATGTAGGGATTAGACAGTAAGTAGTGGTCGTTTGTGCTCAGTCACCTCAATTCTGTTTATTTATTACACTGCCCATAAATCATATAGAAAGTCCCCAGTACTTAGGCCTGAAGTATTGGAACGTCACTTTATCTACCATAATGCAGAGAACTGAGGTATGATGATACCCTTCACAGGACTACAGCAGGCCAGAGCAGGCAGGCAGGAGGCCATGCCCGGAGAAGTGATGTGGCCCTGGCGGCCATTCTCCAGCAGGTTTGGCAGGGGAGGGCATCAGTCAGGTCTCACTAGATCCTGCGCATTCTGTCTCTACTCTCAAATACAGTATCTGCCACTCACCCACCTGCTGTGTGACTCTCACTGCACTTCCTTTCGTCCCCTTTTCATTCCAACCCTTCCTGTTGCTTCCCCTCCAAAACCTTATGGAAGACCTCTGGCAGTGTTTCTAAGAAGAACAATTCCTGGGACAAACATCATATGTCTGGTATCTGTGAACCGTACCAGGGAAGCACCTTGATTCCTCTTGGGTGGTCATCCTAGCATCTCAAATGGTTCTGAGGACTGTTTGATTCTAGATGAAAGTAGGCTCTGGCCAAACTTTAATAACAAACATGACCTGACTTTATATTACAGGGGAAAAATTAACACAGTGTCTAGTACATAGAGCATCTTACCAAGTTGAGCTCATTCATCAAGCCAACTTTTACTAAATGTGCAGTTTCCATCACACTTATTGCATGACACTCCTCTGATTTTCGTGGTTTCACAAAGTCAGTCAACTGCTGGCGAAGGTCTGTAGCCTTGAAAACTCACTGCACGTTGCCTATTCCTTTCACCAAACTCATCTATTCCGTTGGCAAGTCTAGTTGCCCCTTAGCACCTAGAGATCTGTGCCCCAAATCAAGGTCATCATAAAAGGGGACAGGAAGAAGAGTGGGTGGGATCCAATGCAGGGCTCATGACTAAAAAAATACAATGTGATTTTTTTTCATCTTTTCATATACCTCTATCCCAGGTACTCATTGAGTCCTTGATGAAGTATCTCAATTGAGATTTACAAGGACTTGGGTACCATTTGAAATGGAAAAGATTGTAAATGGGCTTTAATATATTAAGAAATATGAATGAGAATCCCCAAATCCATCTCAGCTCTAACCTTTAACTTGGTATCTTCTAGTCTAATGAAGAGCTAAATGCTTCTCTCCCTTACAGTTGATCTTTAGAAATACTAGTAAAGCAGATGGGACCCAAGACTGCCTTCAGTGTTGATAGTGTCAGTGTGACTTGGCACCTTTTTCACCTTTTGTCACTGAAAATCTGTTTGGTTTTCCACAAGGAGCTTGTTGGCTCACCCACTCCTCAGAAGAGGAAGAGGAAATCATCACAAAGTTTTAGTCAACTGCTGAGCTGATCCCTCCCCTATGACGTTCAGGATTGGCATTTGGATTTGCTGCTAGAAAGTCCTGCTGATCCCAGAACCATCCTGTCCTCCCCTTTGACCCCAGTAATGAAGCACAAGCCCACCAGCTACCCTCAGGGGTTTTGAGGAAAGAGCAAATCAAGGAATACGTTGCTACTTGGAATGTGACCTTCACATGGCGCTTCCTGAGTCATGGTGGGCCCTGTGTCCCATCATATCAGTAACTTCCATGTCTGCCTCTCCAGCCTTACCTCCCACCCACAAGAGTTCAGAGCTGTGGAAAAGCAGGTGAGGACAGAGAGTAGGTGCAGTAGGGCATCCCACCCTTTGCCAAGCCTGCAAGGCCAACCCTCCATCACTGCCAGTGCTTCTCAGGACAACGACTTGAACAGGTCAAAGAATTGTTTTTAAAAGAATCTGGAGTTTTCCCCACGTGGACTAAGGGAATGTCTGGGCAAGAAAAAACACACACGCATTACAGGGAAATCCTTCTGAACAAAATGGCTGTCTTCACTTACTCTTTTTAAGCAAAAACTGTTTCCAGACTTTTTAGTGTCAAAACTGTAACCAAGTGTCTCCTGATTTTTTCCCCAATGTGTTTAGTGAGTGCTGTGACCCTCTTGTAGGTATTTCTTCTCCTGACTCTTTTGGGGGAAAGGTGGTTTTAGGGATTGATTTGGGGGGAGCGGATCTTTGACCCATCCCACCTCTTTTGTTTCTCTGCTTGTCAATATTGTCTGTGTGGTTCAGAGCATTGGGGCAGTTACATTGTGTCCATTGTTGAGATGATTAAGATATTAAAAAGTAGTTTGTAGAACTGAACAGTTAAAGAGCTGTGTTTTTAAAAAATGCAAAGCGGTATCATGTTAATAAAGGAATTCAAGCTATGGGGCAGTCGAACTCCTACCCCTTCTCCCAAGCTGGACTGAGGTGACAGCCGGGCTCCCCACTTGGAAACCCTCTCCAGGTAGGTAGGACTGCCTGGGAGATAGAGACAAATGCTGAGTCAAAGGAATTGGAATCTGGGGCTCTGAGGGTCCCATTTGTGCCAGAGATCTCCTGTACATCCTCAGGACCTCGGGGTAGAGGTTTCGGAGTGTGTGAGCCTGTAACCACCCTCAGACCTGCCTGGGTCCCATGTCAGTGTGCCTGATCCTGTGTGGGAGCCCCCCCCCCAACGCTCCCCCAGCCTCTTTCCTGCCAGTAGGTGCTATAGCAGCCAGCGACACCCCACCCCTGGCACGCAGGCCGAAGGGCCGCACTCATGTCTCACTTCCTTCTGGCTTCGGTCCCCGGATGGTTTCCCTTAAAGCTTTTCAGGCCGCCCGCCACCCTGGCCAGAGCCGCCTCTCTGGACCCCGGTGGGGCAAGGACAGGAACGCGGCCAAGCCAGAGAATTCAGCCTCCAGCTGTGAGCCCAGCTCTCCTTCCTGTGCCCGCCAGTAACTGCGATCCACTGTGGTGTGGCGGGCACCCCCGGCTCACCTGCCCGGGACCCCACTGAGCGCTCAGGGCGGCCGGGGTGCAGGCCTGATGTTCCCAGGACCTGCTCCCCTCTCTCAACGCACGGGCACGACTCCTTCTAGCTTGAGTTCCTTGTGGTGACAGTAGCAGCTGCAATGATCATGTCTGTGATGCAAATGCACCCGCTGCCTTCAAGTGTGTGTGTGTGTGTGTGTGTGTGTGTGTGTGTGTGTGTGTGACGGCCGGAGTCGTGTTACTGACAGGATAATGACATTACAAACAAATTGTGTTATGGTCAACTTTGCCTTGATAATTATTGTAAACACTTGTCCATTTTTTCTTTTTTATTCACAAACTAAATCCATCAGGAAATTATAAAGTTATTTAAAAGTTGTGTGCCTTGTCTTTCTTTGGGTCTCATCCAGTCTACTGATGCAAGTGAGAGGAGTCCTCAGATGCCAGCACGGCAGAGGGCTGCGGCCGGCCAGGAACCGGCGTTGCCCCGGGTGGAGGCGGGGGCGGAGGAGCCAAGGCTGGCTCGGGCCTGGCGGGCCTGGCGGGGCGTGTCCTCAGAGGAGCGGGCCTCCTGCAGGTCCCGCGGAGCTCTGTACCAGCAGCCCCCTTACAGCTCTCTAGAGTCGGTTCCCACCTGCCTCCTCCCTCCTGCCCTGTTAGGCCCTGAGCCAGGTCCCCATTACATCTAGCTGCGTTTCTGGAGCTTGAGCTCAGGGGGGAGCAGCCAGGGTGTGACCGAGGGGCCTCCACTCGGGACTCCTTGGGCTTCATTGGGGTGTACCCGATGTATTAGCTCAGGGATGTGGGAGCTGTAGCAGCCGACAGGAAGTGCAAATATCAGAAATAAAGGAACCAGAGAACCTGTGCTTGAAAATTCCCAGTTTGGAAAAAAAAAAAAAAAAAAGAAAGAAAATTCCCAGTTTGGGTGTCTCTCTTGGGCCTTACGCTCAATAAGAAATTATTCTGGGTGGACGTGTATGAGAATGCGTTTTCTGCCTCTCTGCATTTCTGCATCCACCCGGGGAGGGATCAACCTGCTGGCTCGCCTGCCCCCCTCCTGTGGAGATTCCTGTCCACTGTGTGTTGGCACTCGGAGGCAGGCGAGTCCAATGTGGCCCCTGCTGGCAGGTTCCCCCACACCTGGGCTCTAGCCCTGCTGCCTCAGCCCAAGCAGCTGCTGTGAAGTCCTGCCAGGTGGAGGAACACCTGGGAGACGGTGCTGTTTACAGGCCTGGGAACCCAATGTTGCTTGTTTTGTCACCATGAAGCAGGAACAATTTCACTTGCAGAACATGTATCATACTGCAAAATATAAAATCACAAGCAGATGTGTCCACAGAAAACTGTCAGATTACACTGGTCAGCTGTTTCCAGGGTTTCCATTAATCTCATTTCACTATTTGTTTATTCACTCTATGGTCTACCAGCACTCAATTGCAGACAAATGGACACAGAGACCACAAGGTTTAAGGAAAATATTTGAGAGGAGAATTTGCAATTGAGAATTTCATCCATTAACTTGTTTTTTCCTCTGAATTAGGAAAAGACTGCTATTATTTAATTTTTTGAGGTGGAGTATCTCAGGCTGGCTAAAAGATGTTTAAGAACTCATTAGCCTCGGGGTGCCCGGGTGCCTAGTCCATTAAGCACTCAACTGGATTTTAGCTCAGGTCACCATCTCGGGGTTGTAAGATCGAGCCCCACACCAGGTCCATGCTGGGTGTGGAGCCTGCTCAAGATTCTGTCTCTCCCCTCCCTTCCCCACCCCCTACCCCCTCTTACTCTCTCTCTCTCTCTCTCTCAAAAACAAAACTAGTTAGAGTCTGGGGTGAGAGAGTGTTCTGAGATCCACAAGCTTTCCTAGATGTCCTGGAAAGAGCCCTGGACTCCCAGCGGGAGCCTTTGGCTACCCCTTGACCTCTCAGCCTCTCTTCAACCTTTCCCTTGAAAATAAGGCCACCTTCTACTAGGTCACGAGCCGTAACCCATGAGGAATAATATATGATTATGTGTTTCCTTTTTGAAAACTTTAAGAGTGTAAAACAAAATTGCTTTTTTCACATCTGCCATTTGCTTTAGGATAATCCAGTATGTGTGCTGGGGAGGTGGCGAGGGGCCAGTCATACATATGGAAAGATGGGCCGTGAGTTAGTACCTGTTGAAAGGGGTTCAGATGCACGGGGTTCGTTATACTGTTCCATTATTGTGAATGTTTGAAATTTCTCTGAGTTAAATATTCACATCCTTCAATTTGCTGGCCCAGTCATCACACATGGACCTTCTTCTCCAGGATCCAAGTAATCTGCCCACACAAACTGCCACCAGAGCCCTCAGTTCAGTATTCAGACTCTTCTGTGTTCTGGGCTCCAGAGATGCAAACAGCAGTTTGGGGCATGCCTTCCAGGTGTCAGGCTCAGGTGTCAGCACTTCCCATGTTTATCTTATTTCATTGTCATAGCAATCCTATGAAGCAGGTGCTGTTCCCATTTTACAGATGAAGCACAGGGCAATGAAACAACTTTCTCCTGGTCCTGTAGCTCATAAGTGGTAGGGCCAGAGGTTAAACCCAGCTCCGTCTCCAGGGCTCGTGCTCTTCAAGCCACAACTGTGGCCACTTCTGTTAGAGACCTCAGTCCAGTGGAAGAAAGGTATCCCAATAAAATCTGGGAGCACAGAAGAGCAGGCAATGCTCTTCATAGACCTACAAGTTTGACCTTGAATGACAAACTGAATTTTGCCAGCAAAGGAGTTCAAGGATGGGGGAGGCAGAAAAGGCCTGAGCAAAAACAGGGAGGGGGCAAAGGCCATAGGGTATTTGGGGATCGCAAGCAGTCTAATGTCAAGATCTTGGCTTAAGACCATGGAGGAGAGTGGGGCACCTGGCTGGCTCAGTGGTTGATCATCTGCCTTCAGCTCAGGTCATGATCCTGGGGTCCTGGGATAAAGCCCCACTGCAGGCTCCCTGCTCAGCAGGGAGTCTGTTTCTCCCTCTGCCCCACCCCACTCCCACTTGTGCTCTCTCCCTTCCAAATAAATGAATAAATAAAACCTTTAAAAAGAAAAAAGACCATGAAGGAGAAGACATAGTGGCTGCAAACATTGCTTAAAAGGAGGTTGGATGAGTCCACACTGTGAAAGATCTCTAATGCACTGGAGAAGGCCAACTTGGGGGAGCCTAAGCCACACCACCAGTGACCTAACCACAGCCACCATGAGAGGCTGATCACCCCCCCCCCCCGCCAAAAAAAAAAAGAAAAAGAAAAGCACCTGTGTGTGTCAACTCTGGAAAGTGTCCAGGCCCAGGGACCATGGGGGCTGTTGGAGGTAGTAAAGAGCAGGCCATGGCTGGAGCCTTAGAAAAGAGTCGCTCCACATTACAAGGCCAGGAAGCGATTGGGCCTGGGGTCAAAGCTGGGGCCATCTGTTTGCTGGTGTTTCTCGGCGGTTCCTTTCACTAACCCTGGGCACCATCAGAGCTTGAAGCCAGATGGGAGGCTCCCTGTGAGCTGGGACTCTGAGGAGACTTGCTGCCAGCCTGCAGGGCATGAGGCATCCAGGCCAGCCTAGGGACAGCAGGGGGAACAAGGGAAGAAAACGCCGCCTTGTCCGCTGCAGGCTGGATGAGTCACGCCAGGAGCGTGTGCTGTCCGGCTCTGGGTGCCATCTATTCCCCAAGGATGAGGGATGACGCACTGTGCAGGCTCCCTCCTTCAGCCCTTGGTGAGAAAGTCGTGAGGTGTAAAGCGTCAGTGATGCCGCCTCGGGCCTCCCGGACCATTTCCTCGTCACATGGTGGAGGAAGCAGCGATGCTCCTGCTCACAGGGGATCCGAGGGATCCGCAGGCGGGTCAGCTGTTCCCACAGTGAGCCCACCTTCCCCTCTTCCTCCGTGAGTGGCTGCTCCTCCCTGTGTCTGTCTGGCTGGCTGTCCGGCCCAATGCCTCCCCAGCTGCCCCAGGGCTTCAGCCTTGCTTGTGAGGGTGAATAACTTGACCCACGTTCAATAAGAGGGAGCGCGGGCTGCGTGGGAGAAAGTCCTCCGTGGACCGCTGCAGCGCTTCCCCGCCTGGGCCCTGCTGGAATTCACACGCGAGAGCCAGAGCGTTCCTGTTTCCTCTGGCCTGGGCTTGAGTTTTCTTGTCGTGATGATTTTGTTCCTTCGGATTGCGGGAAGTGAGGCTTTGTGGGGAGTCTGTGTGCAGTCCCCGCGCCGTTACCAGGGCGGCCCTGCAGGGACACGTGTGGGTCGGGCCATCCTGGGGCCTTGGTGTGACCCTCCTGCCATGCTCGCCTCCCAGGGCACAGGGGAGCCCTCAAGCACGGTGGGCCCCAGGATGACCGAGTGACTGGAGGGCCTTGCCCTCCCTTGGCCATTATCACAAGTGCCGACGTCAGGAAGGTCCCACAGCTTTTAGGAGTCACCCGCCTCCGGGGAAAACTCAAGAAGCCAGGCGGCCTTCCCGCGGGCCGGGGACACCGGGCGGAGGGGCCGTACCATCTCAGGCTGGCTGTCTGCAGGCCACCCGGCTCCCGGGGACAGGGGACAGGGTGCCCAGCCCGCTGAACGGCCAGAGAACAAAAACGGTGTAGAGCTGGGCGTGTGGGAGCCCTGGCCCTGAAGAGGAAGGGAGACCTACGTTCCCGTCTCGTCTTCACTGCTTCTGCATGAGCTGTGCGGCCTCGGAGAATTCACTGGATGTCTTTGACCTTCAGTTTTCTCATTTTAAAAATAGAAATAATAGTTCCCAGGGGCGCCTGGGTGGCTCAGTCAGTTGAGCGTCTGCCTTCAGCTCAGGTCATGATCCCGGGGTCCCGGGATAGAGCCTCACATCTCCCTCTACCCCTGCCCCTGCTTGTGTACTCACACTCCCTTTCACTCTCTCTCTTTCTCAAATAAATAAGTAAAACAAAATAGAAATAGAAATAACAGTGCCCAGGGGTACCTGGGAGGCTCAGTCAGTTAAGTGTCTGAATCTTGGTTTCAGCTAGGTCATGATCTCAGGGTTGTGGGACGGAGCCCCATGTCAGGCTCTGCGTTTATCTGGGAGTCTGCCTTGTGATATTCTCTCTCTCTCTCTCTCTCTCTCTCTCTCTCTCTCTCCCTCTGCCCCTCTCCTCAAACTCTCTCTCAAATAAATAAATCTTTAAAAAATGAAAATAAAAATAAGGAAATAACAGTGCCTACTTCACAGGTGGGTGAGCTAATGCGTGGGAAAGCACATGGGGCCCCAGCGGCTGTCCATTGTGTGCCTCAGCTCGGGAGAGCCATCCTCTGCCAGGGAAACCCTGCTTGGCTGCAGCCACCATCTGGGGGTAGAATTATCCCCGTGGCCTATGAGTAAATCCACATATTGTTTTGCCTAAAGACTTGACAACGGG